GGTGCCAGCCACAGCTGCTGGCGAAACGTCAGGACCAAATTAAGCTCAACCACGGCCATTCAGCCCCAAGGCTCCTCACCGCTTCATTAATGTGGCAAATTGATTCTATGGGCTGGATCCAAAATGCAAAGCGAAGATCTTGCGTTTTCAATCAGCCTATCCCAATCTGGTATCCTTTGGATGCCTTGGGTTGCCATCCCATAATGCTGCACTTAGCTTAGATTTGGACCCGTTGGCTGGAAATGCTGGGAACTGAAATCAACTGATTTGGAGGCTGCCAAGCTGGGAGGGAAACTTTTTGCCCGTATGGAGAGCCAACGACACTGTCTGCAACAAGAGTGAGACACGAACAGGAGAGCGGAGGTGAAACGTTCTGCTTTCTGTCCTTGAACCCTCCCTACGTGAGAAAGAACCAAACTCAGCCTAGTGTGGCCCCACTGTGGTCTAGTGGTGAAGGTGCTGGACTAGGAGGGGGAAGACCCAGGTTCTAGTCCTGCCACCGAAGCTGATGCTTACAGACCATAATCCACCACTCTGGTCTACATGGACTGTAGATGTCTTTTGACTTCCCAGTCTACAACTAAGAGATCAATGGGGCCAGAGTCACCCAGGGATTCTGTGGCTCAGGGAGAACTAAAACCTGGAGCTTCCTCCTTCTAATTCAGCAGCACTTTCACCATGCCACCACATTGGCTCTTATTCATAGTCATACATACATATGCTGAGTGCATACTAGATGCTCAAGTAGGCTAAATGGAATGAGGCCCTTGAGATTCAGCCAGTTATGGGACGCCGGCCCTCCTCTCAGCAAAACAGGCCACCACAGTAGCCATAAAATGGCTTCTCACGCAAAGACTGTCCCGACGTATTGTCAATCTGGCTTGCAAGGTGGGGTTGCCAAAACATGCCTCACAGCTTCACAATGCATATGCCACCCCTTGCGCACTTGCATGCAACCTTGCAGTGTATGCGTGAAAGGGTGAAGCTGGTGACGTCATGGCAGGTGTCTCATTATTTTTGGGGGGTTTGCTGCAGACATCTCTTCCCTGATGTTGAATGAAGAACTCACCAATGTTTCTAGGCTGGTGGTACATTTGTAAGTTTGAGAATAGGTCTAAATGTTTTTGCAAGGAGGCGGGAGACATGGGGTTGGGGAGAGTGGTGCGCCTACTCAGAAAAAGGATTTATCTAGTTACAAGAAACCATGTGGAGTCCTTGGTGCTCTCTGAGCTTGGTGGTTGCCTTGCAGACGTTTCATGACCCAACTAGGGAACATCATCAGTGCGAGGGAGGGTGGGGTTTGCTCCCTGTATATATTCAGTAGTTTCCCTGCCAGTTTTGGTGAGGTGTGGTTTTCTCCTTGGTTAGGAACTAACCAAGGAACCATCTTACCAGCAACCTGCTCATCACCATCTTTTCTCCACTCTTTGGGGCGATTTTTCTACCCCTCCTTACATTGTCCCTCTTCTGCGCAGGAGGGCCTGCTTCCAAGACTGCACCTAACCATCCTCTTTATTACCCAAGAGAGATTCTGCTGATTTTGTACCGTAGGAAATAAAAAGGATGCTGTGGTTGATACTTTACCTGCATCCAGGTTCACATCTGTGTGCATTAGGTAAGAAAACAGAGGAGGCGGGGGTCGCTCAGGTACCCACAGAGGTATCTGTGGACACACTGGCATCCTTGGGTGCTACGTGTAGGACCCAAATGTTTAGCACAGTGTTTCTCAAGCTTGGCAACTTTAAGATGTGTGGACTTCAACTCATAGCTGCCTGGGGAATTCTGGGAGTTGAAATCCACACATCTTAAAGTTGCCAAGCTTGAGAAACACTGCAATAGAGGGTTGGATTTTTTATTTATGTCTGCAGGGACCTCATTTCCAAAATAGGTCTCCCCAATGCAACTTTAATTGCTCTTCATTCAATTATGGTCCCCATGACTTTGAAGCAACTGCGAACAACTGCCTTTCTCCCAGCAGTTTCTAAACTTCTGAAAGTTTGGAAAAACCAATGTCCATTGAAGCCGCCTCCTCACATTCTTCCCATTTCATCAGACCTGGTTTTTCCCCCCACTTTGAAGGTAACAATCCAATAAACCAGAATTTTGCAGGGAACCCCCGAAGACTGAAGTAAACCTCTGGGTTCTTAGACTGGGAAAAATGGACTTCTTGCACTTTCTCCATCCCTTGCTGGCTGGGGAATTCTGGGAGTTGAAGTCCACACCTCTTCAAGTGGCCAAGCTTGAGCAATGCTGGTTGAACAGATCGTGTGAATCCAGCCACAAGTGTCTTGGATACCCAGCTTCTGAAGCTTCTAAGCAAAGAGGAATCCTCTTGCCAACCTTTTGTCTGTGCAACAGTGTGTGGCTCCAGTTGCAATCTGCCTCGCACAAAGGCTGTGGCAGTTCCCAGCCTCTTCTTCCCAGCTGCTGAGAACAGCAGCAACAGCACAGCGTGGCTGAGTTCCCAACTTCTCATTTCCCCGGCTTGTCTCGTTCCGTCACAGCTGTGGCTCCACGTCGGCAGCAAAGTCTTCCAACTTGTTCCTTGAAGCCAAAGTTTGGGTTTGATATTTTACGCTCATTCCCTCTCATTTTCCCCCCAGCCAGAGCGGTAAAACACAGCAAGGCTCTGTCTGCCTCCTGTTGCAATTATCTTTATTCACGCTGCACGCTGTCAAAGCCACAGAGAAAGACGGTTTCTACCAGCCCTACGGGGTAGACCAGACCAAGAGAGAAACTCCACAGAAGACTAAAGACTCCTTTTATTTAGACTGGCAAGAGCGGTGTTTCTCAAGCTTGGCCACTTGAAGATGTCTGGACTTCAACTCCCAGAATTCCCCCGCCTGCAAGGGATGGAGAACGTGCAAAACATCTATTTTTCCCAGTCTAAACAGAACCCAGAGATTTACTTCAGTCTTCGGGCGTTCCCTGCAAAATTCTGGTTTATTGGATTGTTACCTACAAAGGGGAAAAAAAGCCAGGTCTGATGAAGTGGGAAGAATGTGAGGAGGTGGCTTCGATGGACGTTGATTTTTTCAAACTTTTAGAAGTTTAGAAACTGCTGGGATCAAGGCAGTTGTCCGCAGTTGCTTCAATTTTATGGGGACCATAATTGAATGAAGAGCATTGGGGAGACCTACTTTGGAAATGAGGTCCCTGCAGACATAAATAAAAAAACCAGCCCTCTATTCAGTGTTTCTCAACCTTGGCCACTTTAAGATGTGTGGACTTCAACTCCCAGAATTCCCCAGCCAGCCATGGCTGGCT